TATTTTTTGATCAAAGAAAACAGAAGTGATATATCAATGATTATACAAATAATAATAATTATTTAGTAGTTATTTAGTAATGGCAATATTTATTCATAACTTAATAACCCTGTCCTAAGTAGCCTCATTATTCAGATGGTGGTTTGTGGCTGAAAGAATGAAATAACTTGCCTGTGGTGACATGGCTAATAATGGGAGGAGCTGATATTTGAATCCAGTTTTCCTGACTTTATATAGACTGCATCAACCGCTTGATTTAATTGCCTTTTTCCAGAGACGTATTTCTTGCCATTCTTGCCTTAAAATCTAATTATCTTGGACTGTCTACTATTTGTTGTCTTATTTTTTGTTACTTGTTTTCTTTATCTAATTTCCCAATAATTTGTCAGTTTCTTTAAGATACGTTTTTTGTTTGTTCTGCCTTACAGGTCTTTTGAATCTCCAATGTCCACATAGCACGGTGTTTGTTGATAGTGATTATATTTATGGAATTGGGTTTAACATTCCCTAGCCTTGACTTTCAAAAAAGCCAATGTTTTTATTTTCGTTCTGAGAAAAACTCTCCCTCTTAAATGGATCTTAGTTTTCTGAGTATTTTGGGTCTCTATTAAAACATTTTTTCTCATTGATGATTATATTGCCTTCTAAAAATTTATATTTATAAGGCAGACTCTATAACTATGAACTCCGGTAGAGTTATTTTTTGAGAGATTCATCTGCAATTTTGCTGTTTATCTGCTGGTGATAAACACTCCAATTGGCACAACGTTGGTTGGCCACACACATAGTAACTGTTCAATATGTGTTTATTGAACTAAAGTGGCAAGGATCTCAGCGTGGGAAATGTCATAATTAATTCCTCTGTTTCCTAGTAAGATCACGATTTTGGTAAGGCAAAACAATAATATCTGTACTAAAATCTCTTCATTGTACTTTCTGCAANGATTTTGGTAAGGCAAAACAATAATATCTGTACTAAAATCTCTTCATTGTACTTTCTGCAAGGGAGAAGGACAAAGTCATTTAATTTCAATTCAGTAGTCATTTGTATCTCAGTGTTAGTTTTACCCAACTTTTTTGGAATACATATTTGAGTGGATTAAAATATACACGTATTTATCTAGCTACATAAGATTAAGTTTATCAAAGTAAATCTTCAACTAGGTGGAGTCAAAATTGTATTTTCATCATTCGTATTCTAGAATAATCCATTTGATTGCAAAACTTTCTGAATATTTCTAGTCTAGATCGTTTTTTTCCATATATTATTAAAATTACAAGGGCATTTTAAGCACCCAGCTTTACAAAAAGTATTTATTTACTGTAGATGCAATTATTTTATTAAATTCATGAAATAAGTTCATTTTCCTTTGGACATTTATCTTCCTTTCCCCATCTATTCTGAATTCTGCTTTGAAAATATGTATATAGCATTTTCCCTTAAAAACTGAGATATTTGAACAATTTAGGACAACAGCATGATATTTTTATTGTATCCGCAGCTGTACGTAAACTTAGCCTAAGTAAAAAAAAATCCAAATTTATGATTTTGTAACACTATATATCAATGGAGCACATAATCTCTTTCCATTTCCGGTTCCTTTTTCCTTCTCCTCTTTATTTAAGTTTTTTATGCTAATATACCTAATATTCAACACTTGAACTGTAATTGCAGAATGTTCTTAATATTATTAATGAAACTCTATGAGATACATAAAACCCTTTATTAATTCAGTGGCATTTTATTTTTTAGGTGTAAAACCAGTAAGTGTACAGCTTAATTCTATGCTTTGTCCTGCACCTATCCTGAATAAAGTTGGAGAGTAAGTACTTCATTAAAAACAATTTTAAAACATTTTAGTGACAATTTATTAGAAAATGGTGACAAAGATACATTGGTGGTTTTATTGTATCTTTTTTTTTAATGTCCAGACTGAGTATTAAACAGTAACGCCTAAGCAAGCCACTCTAGTTAGTACTTCAACTATACTCTCAGTAGGTTGAAAATGCTAACGTGCATTTTATCTTGTTTTTTAAAAAAATATTGATTAAAGGCTGTGAAAATATTTATCTGGATGGGTTTGAGAACTATTGTTAGAGCCTGTAAGTAATCAGAGACAGAGCCATTATTTTGAACTTTGGGATATTGAATTTACAACACACACACACACACACACACACACACACACTCTCACATTCACAGAGTTCCAAAGTAAGATTTTGAGCAATTACTGTAGATTTTAATAAATAT